CTTGCCACGTAATACTGTGACCGTCCATTCTGAATTAAATCAATGGCTCTGGCAACACAGTCGGAGACATATCCATTTTTAAAAGTAAGAAGACACCTTTAAAACATTAATTTGCAAAAAACAATTTGATAGCTTTTGAAAGCCGTATATGACATGTCTAAGTATGGGATGATTCAACAAAACTGTCACTGTCATCCTACATATCCTATGGATGGACCATGGAAACCTTAGTTCTAAAAAGTTTGAAAAAATATTGGAAATTGCAATGTTTTTTAAAAAAATCCATATTTTCCACAAAAATAAATATATTGAGGTGAACCAAAAACAAAACTGTTAAGAATAGATGTGACTTGATAAATAAAACTTAATTAAGACCAATAGCCACTCTACAGAGTGTCTTAAACTTATGGTAAAAAACCTATTTTTGTTTAAACCTGTATATAATAAACGTACATCTATTTTTTAGTAATTTTTTAAAATGTGAGCGATTCTCCATTAATTTATCTACAATATTCTTTAATATTTGTTTAAATCCGATCAAATATAAAGTTATTTGCGATTGAAATTTATCGAAAATTTGTGTGGATCGATTATTTTGCCTGTGAGTGTACATTCTTCATACATTCGTCTCTCTTACTTGTTAATTAGGGAATTTCCGACATTTATATAACAAACCGTTTAAGGTTCGTTACTTATTAAATTATTTTTTTTAATTACAAGGATTTTTTAATTATTGCTCATTATTTTGCTTAATATTTTTAACCAATAGAAATGCAATTCACGGCAATATTAGCCAATAGAAATGCGATATACGGCAATATTCTGTCAATATTAACTATTGCCTTGTACTTCTGAAAGATCTAATATTTATAGCTTTGACAAGTTACTGTTTACATAGAAATTTTTTAAAATTTGAAACATGCGATAGTGAATATAAAACTTGAAAATTTAACCTCCCCAGAAATTGTAACAGGCCGCAAAAGCCGCAAATAGATTTCAGAATTAAAGTGTTAATTTTCTACTTTATAACGATAGTTGTAGAAAAAATAGTGTTTGCAACATCAATAATAATAACTTTTAAAATAGAAGGTTTAAGAAAGTTTTTAAAACAAAAAAAATTACGCAGTCAATTTTATAACAAGTTGGAACAGGAGAACAAACTTTTAATAAGCCTCTTTCACTATTTATGCAAAAAGCGTGTTAACTCAATTTAAAACAAGACGCACGAAAATTTTATTAAAACTTAATTTTAAAAAGGTTTTTAATTGCTTTTATAACATTATCAAACGCAAGTAAACTTTTTCGGTATTTATAAAAGCCACCCAGTTTAAATTTCCAATTAGACTCTGATGCACTCTAAAGGTTTCAAGCACAGATTTTATAAGAAAATTAATTATAAGCGTTCACAAGTGTTGTTAATGAATAAAGGCACCACTTGCTAAAATATCCGATAGATTGAGAACACTGCAAGTACAAAGCACACGAGCTTAACGATACTTCTCATTAAAGCTTTTAACTTGTCTTTTATTGCAAGCACCTTTAAGCAATTACAATATTGAAGGCATTTCGCGGAAATCAATTTGCTAATTAGTTCATCGTATACGATGATACGATAATTACGATACGATAATTATAATTAAACGACCTGAATTTGAACTATGCAATCAAAGTAAGGTACCATTGACAAAGTTTTATTGGCCATTTATTTTACAGGGGGTCCGGAAATAACGTTAATATATTTCGGGGGTTAATTCTACACGTATAAATAAAAAAAAAGTTGCTACCAAATGTCCGAAAAGGTTTTTATTATTATTTCAGAAACAATTAATATTAAAATAATGATACTTTTTACTGGGGTAATTTTTTTTCGAGAAATCATCTGGTGGTATAAAATCGGATAAATGATTATCATAGGCGTCCGAAACGGGCTACTCGGGGAAAAAATCCTCATATTTTTTTTTTAAGGTTTTGTTGAATTCTTGATAATTTTACGTAATAAACTGCTCTTGTTGCAAAGTCATAGAGCCGTTCTCTTTTACACATCTCCTAACTCTTTTTTCATAGATCTAATGTTTTAAAAAAATCTAGGTTTATTTCTTATGGATTCACAAGCATATAAAACCGGGGGCAAAAGTTCCTTAACGTTATGAAGTCAAGTGTATTTAAATCTGCCCTCCTTGTCCTATTCATCGGGCGGCGTAAACTTTATCTAAAAGTGTCCATACGTTCGCAGAAAAATGGGAAAATCTTAAATGGTATGGCACGTCATCAAGGAGGTCTATGAAATCATTTTTGGGAAAATACAAGTCATATGCTAAAACGTGAGGACCTATTAAGAAATCGCTTATTATTCCTGCTTAAACGTTGATGGTGCCTTGATTTAATATTCAGATTATTATATTTGGATTTTCATTAGCCCTATTATAAATAGTATATTCTGTAACAAGTTTGGAATACAGCATATTCCGCTCGAGTGAAGAGTTTGTCACACGAGCCGAAAGCGTTTTTCATGCGAGTATTTAAGTTACTCACGAGGCCGTTAGGCCGAGTGTGCATTAACACGAGCTTGAAGAAAGCTTTTCTCACAAGTAAGACAATTTTTTTTCCCCAACGCTTGTATTTTTTTATTATTTTCAAATACAAAACAAAATAATCTAAAAACGTGTTTGACAGCTGTTAAAATTACTTTCATTCTTTTAATTTTTAAGGTATAAGTTACTTAAAATCAATGAACTTATAAATGTATTTGTTGATTGTTTCGACCTTTAATTGATGAAACTTCATATTAGTTTTACTATTTTATTTATGTTTTTTTTAATTAACATTTGTTTCGTTACAGGGTAGCTTCTTCAGAATAAGTACCTTTACATTTTTATTAATTGGCAGTATTTATATTTGCTAATGTAGGAATTTGAAAACGTACGTGTTGTATAAACATTATACCTGAGAGCATAACCCTACTTAAAATACCCCATAGAGACCCTGTCCAAACCGATAGATATTTGTATCGGAATGTATGGTGCTTCTATAGGGTGTATCGGTATGTATAGGACCCATAGTTGGGATTTATGGTTGTTCTATAGAGATATCCATCCTTTATTTATTTGCTATTGGTTTCAATGGGGAAAATACACATAAATGTAGAAATTAGTTTTTCCCCCATAGGACCCCATAGGTTTTAATTAAATTTTGTCAAATGTTTTATGGTTGTTCTATAGGGATATCCCTATATATCATTGAGTTATTTGCTATCGGTCTCAATAGGGAAAATGTAAAAGTTATGGTGTGCCTATAGGTAATTTCCTATACATTTTCTATCGTGCCGTATCCAGAAAAAACCATGCACATATTGAATCCGGTAGCGCGCGATAGATTATTTTATATAGGTCTCTATGGGGTTTTTTAAGCAGGGTAAATTAACCTTACACAATTTTGTAAAAATTATGGAACTACTAAACTATTTAAAATAAATTTTGCAAAGGAGATTTGTTAGTTTTAATTTGGTCATTAAGAACAATATCCTATTTTTTCTTTAGTTTATTAATTTCCAAAGAATCCAGAATATTTAGTTTGGTGCCTTTATTGGCTACATGTAAGATTCTAAAGTTATCGTGAAATTTGTGGTTCTCTTGTATTAAATGGTTAGCATATGAAGAGTCCTGTTTAAGGTTTATATAGGATTTCTCGTGTTCTTTAATTCGTGTAATAAAGTTTCGTCCAGTTTGGCCTATATAATATATTATGTTTTCGGACAGTCTCTGAAAGTTAGTTGGTAAACGGAGTTTGTTGTTTTGTCTTTATTGTTTTTGATAAACTTACTAAGGTTGATGTTAGTTTTAAATGCAACATGTTATAAAAAAAAATAGATAAATGTCTCATATTAGTACATATTTATGTTATATGTTTTTATGGAGTTCTTGGTAATTTAAGATTTTGTTAATTAATTGTGTATCATAGTCATTCTAAACTGCTATTTGTTTAATTAATTTAATTCGTAATTATAATCTATTTCTGATAATGGAACATAGACTCTTAAACGTTTAATTTTCCTTGGTTCATTTAATGCGACGGTGACAATTTGGCAATTTTGGACGATTTTGGTTTAAACCGTCATTTCTTTAGTTTTTGTAGACACTGTTGTCAAAAAATTCCAAATCTATGAAGTGCTCTAAAAAGTAGTATTCGTTTTTCACCGATCCTTTTGTTTGGATAACTTTTCAGAATACCTAAGAGCTAAATATCGTTATAGGAAGTCATTCCAATGTCTCACATAAAGTAAGCTCACACTTCTATTTTAGAGTTTTCAGAAGAATACGACGGTTGTTAAACTGTTTCAGATGTATTTCGAATCCTTCTTGCTGCCAGCACTACTCATACTACATTAAAAATCTTGTCTTTGCTTTTGAAGGATAACTTTGTCCTCAACTTTTTTTAGTCAGAGCGCCTTTCGCAGCAACATCAAACAAATCTTCAGAAGTGAACATATCCTTTTTAAATGGTGAAATTAAAGTACTCGTAATCTACGAGAAGATATTATCATAAGAATTCAAAATTTTGTGACATAAATACCAGAAAATGGCAACCTAAAGGGTTTAAATTTTGCACAAATATTTTTACATAATCACACACAACAATGACTTGCGAGGAGGCAAGATTCAACAATATTTGATTTTCTACATACAATTGTGGCCCACCCTAATACATATTTTATAACAGGGAAATTCATAATTTATATTTAGTCTTCATAAATTTGAATTTCAGGAGTTTTATAAAACTTCTTTGACGATATCTTCAAGGCAACAAAACTTTTGCAAATGCTTCCGTAAATATTGGAGGAAAACGTTTAGATTTTAATAAAGTTTGTGTATACGTACGGGTAAACTTTTTTGAAAAAGAAATGTAAAATAAATAAAAAGTTTTGTGTAGGAATGTTGAGTCGTTTTGTTTTATTCAAATTTCATATCAGTAACATTATGATTAAAATTTTGTTTTTGTTACAGGGATGTTGCAAAAAACCCTTATAATATATTATGAGTGAGCTTCAATCAACGATTGAATTTTCAGTGGAACTATATAAATTTTACAATGTGGACCTATTTCAACGAGGGTGAGTTATATTATAAAATCATACGTTCATGATATATTGCGGTTTATAACACATTAATTAATTTTCGCATTAAAAGCTAGAACACATAATCCCATTTGGAACGTGTAGAGTAGCTATGACAAAAAAGTTATCAAGTACGACACGCTACTGTTAATTACTTTGTGTATATTATAACATCCAACATGAGAATAATGTTAAATGCATTATTAACGTATTGTGTGCATCTAAGCTTCTCTGTTTAGCAAACATAAATACCCCCATTATCTTTGTAATGGTACGATATACGGGGCAGTTAATTTTTAACATTTCTTAATTTATTATTTTTAAGCTTTACGAAATATGAGACTAATTTTAAATATTTGTTTTTAAAATTGTATTAGGTGTTAGGTATAAGTTTCACTTCCATACATTCTTTATTTGTTTATTATACAATATTAATTTATGACTCCCATCTGGACGACCACTTAAGGGTTCGTTACAGAAAGACGAAATAAGCAAGTTTTGGTTCATGTTGCTGGTCTTTAAAAAATAAACATAAAAAGAGCGTGTTAGAAACTGAGAGAGGTAGTATATTTTAGACAGTTACGGGTTGCTATTTGAAGGGAGTAGTTTAATTCTTTAATTTTGTAAGAGTTGAGTTTTGTTATTTGAAGTAGACAGTTTTGGTTTTGCTATTTGAAGGGAGAGTTACGTTTTACTATTGAATTCTTTAACTTTATCAGGGAGTGAATTTAACAAATATTACATTGTTTAATTTATATAAATTCAGTTTGTGAAAGTGTTGTTTATTTAAATAGGTATGTCTTTTCTATATTTAGTTATTATAATCTGAGGTCACAAATATCATAATGAGTGGTTAATTCTTTAATATTTAATTTAAACTATATTTTATTATTATTAATTCAACTTGTTTGTTTGTGAGAGAAATAATAAGTTGAATTATTTTATCTTAATTGTTGTTGTGGACAAACCAAATTACAAATTTATTATAATCATTATTTTATGTTTATAATTATTATATTTATATTACATTTACTTTAACATATTATATTGTAATGTAATTTTACATTTTACTACATATTTATATTTAACATTTATATACTTATTTTGTACAGTTTATCTTATTTTATTTATTTGATAAATTGATATTCATTATTTAATATGGTGAGACTTGTTTCAAGTTCGGCATATCAAATGAGTTATTTAGTTAGGGAACTTTGTTGCCGGTTGCTGGTAATAGGATGGTGGATACAGCTCTGCTTTGACAGGCGCACCCAATGGCCAATAATGCCAGGTAACCAATTTAGACAAAGAATGGTTATATAGGGATATTGATATGAAGTTGTTGTTTTATGGTCTTATTTTATTATTATTGATAATCATTTTATTTTGCTATATTTGATTTGTACTGACATGTTTTTATTACTTGATTATACCTGATTGTATTTGTTAATTATGGCTGTACAATTAAATTGCATTACCGTTGTCCACTACTACACCACTTGTTATTTATATATTTTATTTATACAAATACCATTTATTATTGTTGCTTGTGACCTAAGTTATATTATACTTTATGTTTCACATTATTGTTGTTTGCTGCTGTACATTGATAATTATTTCAATGTGTATTTGCTTTTCTACACCGTCCGAGCCTACCATTTATGTAGGTGAATAATCTTAGCAATATGATAATATAATTTATTATATTCATATTGATTACTTTGATGTTGTTGTATTATTTATATTGTTGAGATGTGCGACATATATGCATGTCTGTATTGTATATGTGGGTTTTTAAGGTTTTACCTTATTAACTTAAATCAATCATACTTTTCAAATACAAATGTTTTTATTTAGATTATTAATGTACAGTAACAATAATTAACTCTTGTATTAATTGCCTTTATTAATAAACTTATTTTAATTTAATACTTTTTCTTTGCTTTTTAAATATCTTTTCAATTGCTCAAGTACTTACGTATCCAGAACCGTATTCACAACAAAAATTTCTTTAAACTAGACGATCACGTGTTTTGGCCAAAGGTAGTTTTTTTGTGGTTTTAATATTCTTTTTAATTATTAATGTGTGCCCCCCATGCCCCGTTCGTTACAAATTGGTGCCGTGACCAGGATTTGTTTTAGGTAATATTGTTTTTTTGTTCTTTATTATTTATTTATAATTAATGTCAAATGACCAGGATTTGTTTAATCCAATCTTGTTTTGTTATTGTTTATATGTTCTTGCTTATTAAGTATTAATTAATGTCAAGTGACCAGGATTTGTTTTAGGTAATATTGTTTTTTTGTTCTTTATTATTTATTTATAATTAATGTCAAATGACCAGGATTTGTTTAATCCAATCTTGTTTTGTTATTGTTTATATGTTCTTGCTTATTAAGTATTAATTAATGTCAAGTGACCAGGATTTGTTTTAGCCAATATTGTTTTTTTGTTCTTGCTAATTTATTTCTGACCAGGATTTGTTTTAGGTAATATTGTTTTTAATATTGTTTTTTGTTCTTTATAATTAATGTCAAATAACCAGGATTCGTTTGGTCTAATATTGTTTTTTTATTTTTGTTGATTTGTTCTTGCTAATTCATTCCTAATAACTAGGATTTATTTTATTTGATATTTGTTTTATTTTATATTGGTTTTATTTTGTTTAACCGATTTTTTTTTGCATGATTTATTAATCTGAATGTTCGCATGTTATAATTATGAATTGACTTTGCTATGATTTGCTATGTTATGTTATGTTTTGCTATGTCTTGTTATGTTTGCTATGATTTGATATGTTTGCTATTTTTTGCTATGTGTTATGTTTTGCCATGTTTTGTTATGTTTGCTATGGTATGTTATGTTTTATTATAAAATGTTTATTAATACTATGTTATGTCTTGCTATGTTGTGCTAATTTTTGTTATGTCCGGCTCACGAAAAATTAATACCATTTTCTAGGATTTTGTATTGTTCATTTAATTTTTATTTTGTATTCGTGTTCCCGTCACTTGATGTCAGGTGATTAAAAGTTTGTCTATTTATTTTAGTTGTATTTTGTATTTCTTGTGTTACCATGTGTCAAGGGTGTTAAAAGTTCTTTTTGTTTATCTCTTGTTTCGCCAAATTGATGATATGGGTTGATTTTGGTCCGGTTGACAGATTTATGATTTTCGCACAGTGTGGTAAAATAATTTTTGTTTATCTGTGTTTAATTTTTTTTTCATTTTCATAAAATACAGAATTCCTGCTTTCCTTATTTTATTTTCAGGAATCTTAATAGTTTGTTTTTTCTAGTACCTTCTTGTTAATAATTTTGTCTGGGTTACTACAACATTTGCTGTGCTTTTCAGCACAAATTGTTGCTGCTGACTGGAGGATACGTTCTTAAAAAGTACTGGGCATTTGATTAGATATATTTTTGTTTTTATGTTATGACTTTACTGCTTTTTATTTTTATTTTTATGCAACCACTTTGATTGAATGACGACCTGAGTTTTGCCAAGGAATATTTGATGATATAATTACCAAATGTAAAATAATTTTGGAATGTGCTAAACTGGAACTACTGGATGATGAGAACTTCAACTGCAATTGATAGGACTGTCAGGATGATCATGATGATGACGATAATCAATGATGATTTAATTTTGATCAGCTGTAATTACTGGATTATGAGAACTTCAACTGCAACTGATAGGACCGTCAGGATGATAATGATGTTGGCGATAATCAAAGATGATTTAATTTTGATCAGGTGTGTCATGTTTATTTTTATTTTAAATTTTCTTATTAATTTTTGTTTTGTAATTTCTTTCTTTATGTACCGACATTAATTAACATTGTTAACATTATTAACCATTGACATGTTACGTTGACGTTTGACTTTACACTTCTATTGTATATTTTTGACAATGTTTATTTATTTTAAGTTTATTTTCTGATTAGTCTTTCTTTTATTTTTTATGTATTTTAAATGTATTTGATGGGAGCTATGATATACCTATGTGATGACGTATAAATGTGGAGATGCACAGAGAAGGGGCGCACGGTGCGCCGCGCATCCAGCAGATAAGGACCAGTAGTGAGCAGGGGCGCACTCAGCCCAAAGGATCAGCAGTTTGCAGGGGCGCACTCAGCCCAAAGGATCAGCAGTGAGCAGGGGCGCACTCAGCCCAAAGGACCAGCAGCGAGCAGGGGCGTACTCAGCCCAATATGATATGGAGGACAGGGTCGTATTTAGGTTTAGTTACCAAGGTTTAGGGATGTTAAAAGCTTGACAAGCCTCCTTATGTCATTTGACAACCTTTCAAAGGGGCGTCTGTAATGGTACGATATACGGGGCAGTTAATTTTTAACATTTCTTAATTTATTATTTTTAAGCTTTACGAAATATGAGACTAATTTTAAATATTTGTTTTTAAAATTGTATTAGGTGTTAGGTATAAGTTTCACTTCCATACATTCTTTATTTGTTTATTATACAATATTAATTTATGACTCCCATCTGGACGACCACTTAAGGGTTCGTTACAGAAAGACGAAATAAGCAAGTTTTGGTTCATGTTGCTGGTCTTTAAAAAATAAACATAAAAAGAGCGTGTTAGAAACTGAGAGAGGTAGTATATTTTAGACAGTTACGGGTTGCTATTTGAAGGGAGTAGTTTAATTCTTTAATTTTGTAAGAGTTGAGTTTTGTTATTTGAAGTAGACAGTTTTGGTTTTGCTATTTGAAGGGAGAGTTACGTTTTACTATTGAATTCTTTAACTTTATCAGGGAGTGAATTTAACAAATATTACATTGTTTAATTTATATAAATTCAGTTTGTGAAAGTGTTGTTTATTTAAATAGGTATGTCTTTTCTATATTTAGTTATTATAATCTGAGGTCACAAATATCATAATGAGTGGTTAATTCTTTAATATTTAATTTAAACTATATTTTATTATTATTAATTCAACTTGTTTGTTTGTGAGAGAAATAATAAGTTGAATT